CTAATAGATTCAAGAATTTCAGAAATAAATGATGAAGAACAAGAACAAGAAGATCAAAATCAATATAAATTTCATTCACCAATAGATGAAGATTTTGATTTAGATACATTTAATGAATTATTTGAAACAAAAGAATCACAATTAGACATTAGTGAACAACATAAACAAGCTTATCTGTAAAACAAAAAAAACGATTAATCATTTTCTCTTCTATCTTTTTTGAAACTTGTTCTTTTTTTTGTTTTTTGTTTAAATATTTTAGAGAAAAACTCAAAAAACAAAAAACTCAAATTGTTTCATCAAAATCGAAAATATCTATTGATGAAAATTCTCTGCAATTATCAATTAATCTAGATGATTTTCATGAACAACAAGAAATAAAACAAGATCAAACACATGTTATTGAACAATTCTATCCAGATGCTTCAATACTTGGATCTCAACTTCTTTTACCTTATATTTCTGATAATCAAAAACGATTATTTATTGAATTAGATTTTGCTGAAGAACAAAATATTGAAGATTATTATTATTATAAACAAGATCAACGAGAATATATTACACAATAAATGAATAAATATTCTGATATAATAGAAAAAGAATCTATTAAATCACAATCAATAAAAACTTTTGAACAATCATCCATTGAAAAACATTTATCACAAATTAGAACATCATCTCAAACATCGAATTTAATACAAATGGAAGAAGATAAAACAAAAATAATGAGTGATTTAAAAGTTTCGATTCCTCTAGATAAATCGATGATATCTATTACAAATCTATACATAGTTAATTGATCGAAATATGTAATTTTGTAGAGAAAGAAATTCAAAATACAGAGCTTCGATCTGAAATGTTGCCTATAGTAGGTACGTTTCGTGTTCATGAGATAGTTTATCTATTGAGCCTTGAAATGAATAGTAGGAGTTTTTTAATACAACTGTCGGAAAAAATAGATTCAAGTAGCTGCTGGTATATTAGAGGACAAAGTCCAAACAGTAGACATCATAAAATATACAGATGGTGGAGCAAAGTCAATTTAGGAGAGACTCGAAAAAAAAAACAATTTTCAAATGTTTACAAGAGGGCGAAAAACAAAGAGGTAGTGGTTCGCTTTTACAATCTTTTAGTTTCTTCGAAAAACTACATAGAACAGTGGCAGATTTAGAGAAGAGAGCGACGGGATGGTCTCGCTCTTGAAGAAAATTTTTTCGATTTTTCTAAGCAAAAAAGAATGAAAAAACGGGTTTATACTACCTTGGACAAGCTCAGAAAATGTGTTCTGATTATAATCGTCCTTGTCTCTTTCAAAATCCTAGATTCTTTACTGACTTTGAAATATAGTTAATACTAGTTTTTTTAGTTTCATAATAAATAAAACCTTTATACTAACGTATTGAACAGAATAAACTAAAATGTCTATCAGACCTTGATCGCTCTTCGGCAAAGTATGTTTTGTAAGACAATGGTCGAAAAAATGAACTACTGAATTGCGTCTGTACATTCACCCTTTGTGCTGTTATTCAACATAAGTATAAAGGCTTGCCTCAAAATTTTTGATAGTGGTTCTCACCGAAAGCGATCAACTTTTCACTTGCTTCATGTCAAAATCAATCTTTCGTTATGCTGTCAGCCGTTATCTTTCAAAAAAACATAGACTGAGTCCAGCCTTCTCATATCTAAGAATTCCGCTACCTCTGAATATGACGAATATCATTTATGATAGCTCGAATCTTTCTCTACAAGATTATATATTTCGATCAATTAACTATATATAAGCTTGGCACAGATAATATCAATTCATTGAGAGAAATCGAAACTTTTGTGAATCATTTTTTAGAATCATCAATAATTCAAGATGATACCATCAATGACAAAGATAAATCATTAGCTGAAGATGAATTTCATACATCATCAATTCAAATATTAACTTCAGAAAAATCAACTGGATCTTTTCCACTCATTGACAAAAGACTGTCGTCATCAACAGATGAAAGTTTACAGCAAAAATCGATATCATTTATACTACCAAATATTACTGAAAATCTTTATACTATTCTCCTTGAATCGTAAATTCTTTTCTTTTTTTTATTTCAATAACAAAATCATTTTTTATTTTTCTCTAAAAATAGACTTCAACAAATGACAGATATAGAACAAATTTCATTACAAAAAAATTTTCAACTTAGTAAATTATTCTTTTTTCTTCCAAAAAAAAAATAATAAAATCTTTTTCTTTTCAGTCCGTCATAATGTTAATCAATGGTTTCAACAAACTCTACAGTATAACGAACAAATATCAAATATTATTCAACAAATAAATTCTATCGATAATAATTATGAATATTTTATTCAACATGAATTATTAACTAATCAATTAATTACTTATTTTCATAATGAATTAAATTTATTTCATAAAAATTTTCTATTTCTTAATAATTTAAATAATTCAAAATCACAAAATTTTTTTCAACAACGAATTAATCAAATAGAAAATATTTTAGACGAACAAAAAAAATCATCAAGAATTAATTAAATATATATATAAACAAATTATTGAAATTGAACAAATAATTAATGAAATAAATATAGATTCAGAAAAACAAGAAATTTTTCATAATTTAAAAAATCAATTTCATAAATATAAAAATGATTTTAATCAAATTCAAAAATATGAATATTTTGAAATTCAACCTATATTAAGAAAACGTCTTGAATTAGTTATTCGAACATTTGATATAGATTTACAACTTATAGAACAAATTTTTAATGGTAAAACATTAACCGATCTTATTCCTAATAAACCATCAATTATAATAAAAACATCTATGCAACCAATTGAATCACAAATTTATAATGATATAATATCAATTCGAGATAATTTATCAACAATAGCAATCAATATGAAAAATTGTCAAATAATATAATAATTCATGAAAAGAAAATATCACAAGATTTACTAAGAATAGATATTGTAAGTTATGTGAAAAATTAGATAGTTTATATTATATAATTGTGAATAATTTTAGAATGATCGTCTTCAAACTATTAAAAATGAATATTTAGAACAGAAAATAAACGAAGAAAAACTACAATTGATAAAAATGAATTTAGATAAATTTATTGAATATGATCAACAACAAATAGAATTTATTGATAAATTAAAAGATATTCATAATATATTAAATAAAGAATCTAATAAAATTCAAAAATATTTATTAAACATTACAACTGCTCGTTATCATTCTAATCATCCAAATTTTCCATTAAATTCTAAATTAAAATATTTTCCAGTTGATAATTTAGGAAATTTAATAGAACAACCTTTATATCTTGTTAATGAACAAAATATGTCTATTTCAGACGAACTTAATCTTATTTGATTACTATGTGAAATAGATCATTTTCATATTTCAAATGATAAATATGAATTAACAGTTGTTAATAAAAATGAAATACCATTATCCGAACCAATTACTTTTAAACAATTGACATCAGAATTAATTGAATTTGAATATATTGATGATAATCGACAAACTATTTAGATTATTGAAATAGCATCACATCATTCAATTCATAAATCTATTATGCTTAGTGTAAAATCGATTTCCTTTGATAAATTACCGGTAATTAAACAACCGGAAAGTATGTTGAAAAATAATAATAACTCAAATTCAGAACTAACAGATGAGCCATAAATAATAGATATTTTTTTTTTCTTGACAATTTAAAGCATAGTTGAAAAATTTCATTCTAAACAGATTTGATAGAGAATTTTTCCCTATGCAAAATTGTCGCTTTTATTTTTCTTCTTGACGAAAAAATTCAAAAAAACTCATAGTCACTCAACCTGTCCATCGCCGATAGTCAAAGATTGTTAATTAATAATAGTTCTGCTGAAATTTGAGATATGCGATAAAATTGTGTTCGATTCATAATAACACAAATGTTTGCCTTGTTCAATTAAAAGTTACATCACTTTGTTCAGAATTGAATTCTGTAAACAACAAGATAAAAAGAAACTTTTCACAGAGGAAGTCTGAATTGTGAAAACACGAATCTATGTGTTAGTTTCAAGCCTTTTACTTCTCAAGCACTGAATCAACAGTCTTATAAAGATGATGAAAATATAGAATATATAATTTCCTACATTTTAATGCTAAATACAAGATATCCGAAGAGTCACCTATCAATAAGAAAACTATATACATCTCCACTGAGGTTAAAACAGATGAAGTGACTTTTTTGCTGGTTATAGAGAAGACTTGTAAATTTTTATTCATAAAGTTAAAGTTCATAAATACTCCTGAAAACTTTACTTTGTGGATCCAAAACATTAAAAAAATCCCTTTAATCGAGCAGACTTTCCTACTGAATTACTGGAGGTTTTTTTTTCGTTATTCTGAACTTCTTACCATTCAGATGTCTTTCGCTTACTTTATAGATATTTTTATGACATTTTTTTAAAAATCTTAACTAATTTGTATATTTCTTTAAGATAATTTGTTCCTTGTTCATCAAAAACTTTCATACGAAGTCAATTGATAAAATGGGGACGGTTTTAGAGTTTCCACAGTCACCATTTTTGAGATTAATGTCTCTAATTTTTCAAAACAAAGTGTCATGCAAATAACGGGTGGGGCAAAAGTTTTGCATTAATTTTATTTTTTATATGATTCTGCAATGCAATGTCGTAGAGACTTTAATTTTTTTTTTCTTTTTTTTAGAAAGAGCAAAGTATCTAGTGCAAAAATCTATAAAAGAATGCGATTGAAAATGTTTTTCGAAGACCACAACAATCTTAGAATAGAAGACGTCGAAAAATTCTTCTGCAACTTTTTTGAACTGAGAAAAAAACATCTTATAATTAGACTGCTTCTCTTTTTAGTCGTCGAATCCAGATTTTATAACGTAAGGATAGAACACTATTGTTTTAGAAAAAAAAGAAATTTTCTACATGCTTTATAACGGTCGAAATGAACTCTTTTATGATATCGTCTGAGCCATCAATTTTTCTCACTATTCATAGAAGTCGAAAAAATAAACTCGATTTCGCGAGAGGTATTATCCGAAGATATATATCCACATGGAAAAGTTTGTAAGTAGCGACTAAAATGCTTATGCAGTTTCTGGAGTAAACTATACTATAAGCTCCTTTTGATAACGTACTTATTTCAAATTTAATAAAGTTTTCAAATGCTCTCGGTGTTAACCTAACAGTCAAGAAGCAGATAAAAATTATATTAGAATAAAGCCACAACTTTGCAGATTCAGATTACATATAGCACTTCAATATTTAGTTTCGATTCTATGTTTTTAAAACATTTCATTCCATGGCACAAAAGCGACGATAAATTCCAAGATATGCATTCATCTTGTTTCTCATGTGGCTTTTTTCTTTATCATGGAAATAAAACCAAATAAATACTCTTTAGCAATAGAGCAAAGTGTGATTTACAACATGACATAATTACCTGTCAAAAGTATTGAAATCCTATTTTAATCACTCTGATTCATTGTTAGCCGGACAAGATGTTGACACCCTTAAGTCACATGTCTGTATGTTTATTTCAAAAGTTACACTTTTTTGACGAAAACAAACTTTTTGGAAATGACTTGGTTCCTAAATCTGAAACATTTCATGATAAATCCGATTTTACTATTAAGAAAATATTCAAGTCTAAAATCCATATTTTATGTTATTTAAATAATGATTAATACTTATAGTTTGGTAAATGTCAGTTTCCTAGTATGAAATTTTAATACCTATGTGTTGAATGCTAAATAACGGATATTCTATCTGTTTCAATGGAATGACGTCATCAAAATTTTTTCTAGTATCTGACATCGTAGAGGAAAGAAAAATGTGTAAATGAAAGTGATGATATCATAAGTGATTACTTCACACGAAAAATTAAATTTAGGCAGAATCCGTTTTTAATTAGGCACAAAACTATGAAATAATTTTCTTTTATTTAAACATAAACTGTAATTTTCATTTACCTTAACAAAACACAGCAGATACCTGCTTTTTTTTACTAGACAGAGTATTCATTTTCACTGATTCATACTGTAGTGTTTGCATCAATAACTTCTTCTCCGTCAACATTGAAAAATGATTTTTTTAAAAATATCTTTATGAACAAGTGAAATAAGATTTCAAATTTTTGGAGTGTTACATTCCAAGAAAAGGCTGATATTATTTCACTACAGT